TATTTTTGGATCAATTTTTATACACTTGCCCATCATAATTATATTTTTAAAATAAAAGTACTAAAATAAAAATAAATGCATTAAATATTATTTTAAAAATAAATAAATAAATTTAAACATTTTAAATTAAAAATTAACTTGATTAAAGTTGAAGGGAGGGAGTAAGTTTTTCATTTACTAGCAAATATTTTTGGATCAATTTTTATACACTTGCCCATCTTGAACGTATCTTTTTCGTTAGTCTTTAAGAATATTCCTTTAAATTAGTCTTTATGCATTTAATAAAATTATTTTTTTAAATATTAATTTTAAAACTTAGATCTTAAATTTGGACTTATAAAAAATATTTAGTATTAAATTCGAACACTAAGATTACACAAAAATATGTTATCGCCACTAAAAAGGCAACTTTGCTTTAGCTTATAATTGTTGTAATGTAGTTAATAAGGTTAAGGTAATTAGAGGTAAAATAATTAATATATATTACTTAATATATTAAAAATTTTATAATAAATTAATAGATTTAAATAATGTAAAAATTAATTTAAAAAACTCCAAATTAATAAAATCAATCACATACCAATTATAATCAGTTATGTGGCAATATTATTTTTATTTTATCCCAATAAAATGATTCAACAATTAAAATTTTTAAATTTGAATCTTAAATAAAATAAAAGAAAAGTGAAAAATAAAGTAAAATATCCCCTGTGCATTGTTATAATCAGATGTCAGAAAAAAGTCATATTTTTTTTATCTTATTTTGTACGGCAATAACCACCGCCGTCCATTGAAGCAAATAATGTAATAATTGCAATTGGAGATGGGGTTTACCTTAAACTGATCTAACGGCGGTTAGATTGACAATTGGAGTTGACATTTCATAGCAGAAATTAATAAAAAATAAATTAAAAACCCACTTGCTAGAATTATTGTACTATTATAAACACAATAATAGAGAGGGACCTATCTTCCCTGCCATATGTTTAAATTTTTCATTTTTTCGCCAATCATCAAGAAATGTTACATATAAGTATACAAACTTTCTTAATTTTTTCTCTGACCATGGACTGCAGGGGAATTATTGCCCAAGATCACTCAAGCTCGGGTGTAACATGTTTTCAGGGAAGCCAACACATGTGTGGATAGGCCTGCTACGTTAGCTCATCTTAGTTCTACTTTTTTTTTTTTTTTTTTGAGGTTTATTTATCAAATATTTCCATGTATTATTATGTTAATCATGGTGGGATGATGCATCCCAGGCAGTAGCTGTGTATGTTTTATTTTGTTATGAATGTCATCTCTATTTCACAAAAAGAAAAAAAAAAAAATCTTTTGTAGTTTTACTAACAAATTATGCAAACCTTTTGCTTACTAATTAAAGCTATTTACTTTAAAAGTTATTACTTATGGAGGATATAAGCTTTGAGTTTTTATTAACCAAAGATATGAACTTTGAGTTTTTACTTTACTTTTTACTAATCATTAAGTGGATGCCTAAGTCTCCAAGCTATTGTTGCAATTGGAATCCATTAGTGAACTTTACAATTTATTTTTAGGGAATTTTGTTTTACAGTTTATACTGTATCGACAGACTGTAAAACATGAACTATTGAATGAAGAAAACACTTAATACTTTTATTAAATTATTAGTATGTCTAGTGCATATTACAAAACACTTTTTCCTCATGTTTATATACTGAATTAGACAATAACATAATAAATAATTAAACAAGAGACTTGTAGGACCCAAAAAATCAGAAAACATAACCTTTTTAAGTTGCATAAGTCTCCTTTATTTCATTTGGTGTAACGAAAATGGACCATGCATGGATTATAACACGTCATCATAAATTGTGGAGTCTATTAACGAATTTTGTTTGTCACATTAGCTGCAACATCCACTTAATCTTTGATTAGTAAAATTTTAAAGTTGATATTATCGATTAGTAACTTTTAAAAGTGCATATATAGCATTAATTAATAAACAACAAAATTCATATCTTAATTAATAGAGTTATGAAAATTCGTATATTTGTCTATACTATTTTTCCTATATCTATGGTATAAAAAGTATAAAACTTCTGAGCAAATGAGGCATCGCAGTTTAAAAAATAATTAATTAAAAGTTCGAGTTGAAACAAATAATAAATAATGAGAAAGAATTATATTGTGCACAGATAAATGTAACGACCCCACAATACAAACAACCTCAATATTATGAATTTTACGCCTCTCATGCGAAGAATTCCCCTTACATTGATTGATATGAAATTTTCTTATTCCCCAATCATCACTTTCGTCTCGTATAGCTGGTGGCGGTTGTTCCCACCATCAAATATCAAATATCAAATATCAAATATCAAATATGTCAGGGCCATCAATATTTTAGGTTTTCTTCCTAAATAATGCATGAAAATATAAATTATTAATTATAAATATTAATTATTTTATTAGTTATTAATTAATAATTATAGTATTAGTTATTTTTATTAATTAAATTAACAAAATCAGTATTTTTAATAACAATATTTCATAATTTTAGTAGTGTTAACATTTTTATTAATAGTTATAACTATTCCCCTTATGTTGCACCAACATACTGTAACATATTACAATTAGGGATTTTTTTGCGCCAAAAAAGTATTTGAACCCATGTATTTTTTGATTTTGTTGAGATTAACCCTTTAACTTTTTTTTGGAATATCTGAACCCATCACTTATATATTAAAATAAGTTAACTCATGAACTTTTTAATTGAAATAAATTAATACAAATCTAACATATGACATCATGAAATGTTAATTTACGGTGAAAACCATTTATTTGCCGTTAAAACATTGCTGCCTTGGCACATGTGAGTCACGATTTAGTGACATGGTATGATGTGCACCACTTTTTTTGCTGACATGGCCCCTGATTTGCTAACCTGGACTAATTATTTCCCCAAAAACTCACCCACTAGAAGGCTTATAATTGGGGATTTAAGTTTTTGTCCTTTGTGAAATCCATTTTTGCCTTCAAAATGTCAGTATCTTCTTCGCATACTCAATTGATTAAGAGAAAGGGAATTGAAATTGATCAAAAGATGAAGAATCATATGTTACCTGAAATCTGCACATATAATAATCATTGTCGAATAATGCTCTTAAGGAGTTGACTGGTTTCACTCTCATAGTCGGATTTATTCTTCGAAATGGCACTCCAATTTGATTGAACAAACCTAATTTCCAATTTGGTTGTAGACAGATTCATGTTTACACAAAAAGAAAGAAACTTCACATTTAACAAAAGAGAAAGAAACTCCATCCAAAATCTAATGATTTCCTTCTCTCACCTAATTCACTTCAAATTCATTATAGCAAAGAAAAGTCCTTCAATTACCATTGTCGTGAGCCAAAAGAAGCTGAATTTAATGAAAGAAACAAAAAATACTCACAGCTGCAAAGCTTCTAAAAACTTGTCGTGCTCCATGTCAGTCTAGTTCTCTCTAGATTTAGTAATGGTATACGACTTCCGGATCCTCTTACTCAGGTCATCAATAGAGGAGCTGGTACTTCCGACGATAGTGAACGTGGCAGTAGCAGGAGTAGGTGGCAAATTGGAAGGCGATGGAGGAGTGAGACCAGGAAGGCCCAGGTTCATAGGATCGAAGAAGTAAAACTGATGAGCAGGGTTAGGGTTCACGGACAACATAAGAAGTCGATAAAATTAGAAGGCGGTTTGGGTGTGTTGGTTTGGGTTTGGTTGGTAACGCGACGTTGGTTTCTGCAAATCAGACAATCATCAAATGGCTGCCGACCTTACAAAGATACTGACATTTTGAAGGCAAAAATGGATATCACAATTCATTAAGGATAAAAATCTCGATCCCCAATTTTAAGCCTTGGAGCGGGTGAGTTTTTTTATACATTGGATTTGAATTAATTTATTTTAATTAAAAAATACATGAGTTAATTTATTTTAATATATAAGCGATGAATTTAAATATTTTGAATAAAAGTTAGAAGGTAAATCTCATGAATATTAAAAAATACATGGGTTAAATACTTTTTTCGTCAATTTTTTTTATCTGCACTCTAAGTAAACAAGTTGCAGTTGCAGTTATTATACTCCCACTGGCCTTTTTTAGTTGTCATAATTCTTTGACTTTGTGTAAATTAATTTAATAATTTATATAATAAATGAGTAATAATTGAAAATTTATTTTTGTCTAAGTGAAACTATTTAATAAGAACTATGCATTGAAAGAAGAAATTTTCAATTGTCAACTATTTATTATATAAAATTATATGGTCAAATTTTATGTAAAAGTTAAATTTAAATAACTAAATCTAATTCAGGGAGTATTTTTTTTTAATATATATTTCATTGTTTTAAAATAACAATCATTTTTTTTTACATTGAGTTTGTTATAAATTAATTGTAGTTTTTCTACTTTTTATGATATATAAATATTTTTTTTCTACTTTAATTCTCTCATTATTCATTTACTTTGATTAATTATTCTATCGTAAAAAGTCTCTATTTGTTTTTTCACTCCCTCTATCTCAAAATAATTGTCATTTTTTTATTTTGAGTTTGTCCCAAATTATTTTTCATTTTTCATTTTTTAGATAAACAAATATTTTTTAAATTTAACCATATTATTATCTATTTAGTTTAATTAATTATCCTATCACAAATGGTATCACTTTATCTTTTAGCTTTTTCACAAGAGTAATATAGATAAATATATAAATTATCTCCAAATCCTTAATTTGGGGAAAAAATGATAGTTATTTTAAGACAAATGGAGTATCTTTTTTTTTTTTTCTAATGGTAAGATAGGTAAATACATAAATTGTCTTCGAATTTTTAATTCAAAGAAAAAGTTAAAAATATGACCATTATTTTGAGACAAAAAAAAGTAATTAGTATTAAAAAATAAAGTTGATATTTATTTAATTAACTATTTGATTAAAATGATTTAAATAGTATTTATGGTGACATTAATGTCAATATTTGTATTTTTTTAATATCAATTAATGTAAAAAAGATATAATTAATAACTGCATATTTAATTTGTGCTGTTTGCATACATATTAGATACATATTAGATACATATTAGAAAAATCCTACTATTAATTAAAAGGAGTTTTCTAAGTTAAGGTGTATTTGGTACGTAGACTAAAGTGCATCAAATTATACAGTAATTACCATTAGAAGGGAATGTTCTTGATATTGAGGTTGCCCCTTAAAGCTATGCACTTAGACAAACCCTTAATTAAATCTTTCCATAGCATGCAAAATTCTTTATAAAATCCTATCAATGAATCCATCACAGCCAAAAAGCTAGCAAATTTCTCCCAAGGCAAAAAGGGCAAATTAACCCCTGTACTCTTCATCTGGTGACAAATCAGCCCCCTAACTGAAAATGGTGGCAAATGAACCCTCAAACCCTTGAAAGGGCGGCCAATCTGCCCTTAGACGGAATTCAATTTAACTGACAGTGTACGTGTTTGGGTGAGATCTAGGATAATGATGTAACCTTCCAAGTCCAGGCATCCTTTTTTTTTTTGTTGGGCTTTTTATCAACAAAATAAATTTTATTAATTTAGAGTACATGGAGTACTCTCATTCACATCAAATTTTATTATTGTAAAAAATATATAATATAATATAATTATATACTTATTGATTTAATATATAATTCAAGATTATAAATCCAATTATATAAAGAGAACCCCAACAATTAATTGAATCCTTTAACCATAGAAAGGATTTGATCTGTACAATCCCCGCCAAACTATCTGCATCAGTCTCTTTTGCTTGAAATATCAATCTGTTTCTCATTCCCCAAATATGCCAGGTAATTGATATAAATCTAAGGGACCAAATCACCTTCAACTTATCATACTGCCACCTGTAAACTAGCTGCCAAAATGCCTCCTGAACAAAGCCCATTAATGCACTTTGAACACCCCACCAGGCTAATATCTTCATCCACACTTTCTGCGCAAATGGGCATTGAAACATCAAATTATCTAAATCTTCCTCATTCTCCCCGTACATCGAACAGAATGCACTACCTCCATCTATTGGAATCCATGTTCAGGCGTCTTAATGTTACATAATTAATTTTAATATCATTAATTTAACAATTTTTATAAACAAAAAGAAATAATCCATTCGTCTTAAAATTATTATTATTTTTTAACTTATTTTAAATTGAGAATTTGAAAATAATATTTGTATTTATCTATAATATCTTTAAAAAAAAGATTTTTGTAATTAAATAATTAATTAAATTAAATAGATAATAATAGGATTAAAGTGTAAAAAAAATATTTGTCTACATTAAAAAATAAAAAAATGACAATTAATTTAAAACAAATTTAAAATAAAAAATAACAACTATTTGAAATAAAAAGCGTATTAAAAACTTTAAAAAAAAAAAAATCTAATATCCATCTCTGTTCTTGCCTAGGCATTATTATATGAAATTTTAGCATTTTAAATGTTAAGGTGTCTTAATTTTTATTTTTAATTATAATTTGTTTAGGTCATGTTATAATTTAATTAAATCTATCATTATTTAAAAAATTATTAATTTAATATTAAAATAAAAATTAGGTCAGAGTTGAGTTGGGCCCACTTTTTTATCTGCTCCACTACTAAGTCATCCAAAGGACATCCATGTTTGGTGTTTATATATCCATGTCACCACCAAGTAAGCAATGGGGCCCACAGAAATTGAGCTTGCTGTTAGTTTTCACGGATTGATGACATCATCAGTCAAATAGGGGCTGATTTGCCACCATTTCAAGGGTTCGCAGGTTCATTTGCCATATTTTTAGTTGAGGGGCTGATTTGCTACCATGTGAAGAGTACAGGAGCTGACTTGCCCTTTTTGCCTTCTCCCAATCCCAACCCAAAATGTTTCACATTCTGCTTCTCTGCTCCCTCCTCTTCGCTTCGCCCCACGCAGCTAACTTCTGCGTGGGAAACACCAAAGGCCCAGCAACCGCCATCAGGCTACTGATGCTAAAACCCTGCAAAAGTCACTTCCAAAGATTTTGTCTTTTCAGGCCAAGCATCTGGCGGGCCGGGAAACACCACCAACATCATCAATGCGGCAGTGACCCCCGCATTTGTGACTCAATTTCCTGGGCTAAACAGGCTAGGTCTGTCCACGGCTCGTCCGGACCTAGCCCCTGGTAGGGTAGTCCCCATGCACACAAGCCCTAGTGCTTCTGAGATTCTATAAGTGGCTCATGGCCAGATCATGACAGGGTTCGTTTCTCTAGCTAACTCTGTTTACTTGAAGACGATCAAGAGGGGAGATGCCATGGTTTTTCAACGAGGGTTATTGCATTTTTAGGTGAATTCCAGGAAGTGGCATTCACTTGCTATTGTTAGCTTTAATAGCCCTGATCCTGGTCTCTTGATCCTCGATTTTGCGCTGTTTACCATAATTTGCCTTCTGCATTGGTGGAGAAAAGCACATTCCTAGATGAAGCTCAAGCGAAGAAGCTTAAGACTGCCCTTGGTGGTACAGGCTACGCTAGCTTAAGAGTGCAAGTGTTAGAAATTAATGTGTATTTGCCATCTCATGATTTTTTTAAAATAGTTCTCATGTCCAAATGTAATTGAGTTCTTTTATTGAGCTTTCGAAGTTTCAAGACAAACCCCTTCTTAAGCCCCTAGACTTTTCCCAAAATAACACGTGAGCCCCTGAGTTAGAAATTATACAAATAAGCCTTTAAATCCCTCAAATGATGCAAATTAGACCCCAAACCCCTCAAAAGATGCTAATAAGCCCTCATCATTAATGACCCAACGCATACAACCTGATGTCGTCTACGCTTTTCTTTCATTAGGTCTCATGTTTCTTCATGGATGGTAACATGGATCAAAGGACCCTCGGGCAATAAAATCTCACTAAAATGGTTCATGTGACCTAAATAAATAAAAGGGGCAATGTGAGTCATTTTGGTAGGATTTTTATTACTCAATGGGTACTTTGATCAATGTCAGCATCCATGTAGAAACGTGGCATCTTATGAAGGAAAAAAGTAGACAACCTTAAGTCATATGCATTGGGTCATTAATGATGACGGCTGATGAGCATCTTTGGAGGGGTTTGTGGGCTAATTTGCATCATTCAAAGGGTTTGAGGGCTTATTTGTACCGTTTTTAGTTTAGGGGCTCATGTGTTAATTTGGGTAGGTATAAGGGATTAAGAGCTGGTTTTGCCAATTTTCAACAATAACCATTTTAATTAGGGTTTTCATACTTATACTGGCACAAATTAATGGTGTAATTTTGTTTTTACTAGGGTTAAGGGTGCATCATTGCACTTTTTTACCTCTAATTTGTATGAAAATTATAAAAGCAAATTTTATTTTTAACACCAAATGCCTTGTGGAACATTTTTTTTTTAGCAATCAAAGTAAAAATTTATATTAATAAGAGTATAAGAGATACTCCATCCTAAATTATGTCTTAATACATCAATATAACCTTCAAATAAAATCTAACCATAACATCAACATGAGTTAATTTTCATCCTTTGTAAGTCAAACTTAAGATTTTGAAATGCCTTTTGAGCCAAATGATAATCATCAATAGCCGTGCAACAAACAAGTGGTTGTGCAATCCAATCCTGCAAGGTATTTCTTCTTATTTTCCATTTACATTTCTTTTTGTTCCAACATAATCAAGTTGCTTTTTCCTTATCTACTAACAATTTTTTCTTTTCAGATTATTAAGTTTAAAATCATATCATGAGGTAAGTTTTACTACTAATTTTGATTTATGCAACTTATCTCCTCTTATAAATCACATCTTATAATTTATAAATTTATTAACAAAGTATGTGTTTGGTCAAATCTTATAATTTATAACTCTATTAACAAAGTATGTGTTTGGTTTTTTCTTTTTCTTTTTTTTTTTTAGAATTTTATATTCAAATTATGTCATTATAAGTAAATTACATTTTCTTTTTTCTTGTATTTAAATTATTTCTCACAATTTCCATATTCGAATATATTCTTTGGAAAGCTAATTTTTCTTGAAATATAGTTTGTGTGTAAATATATATTGTTGTGGCACTTAATTGATTATAATTGAATTTTGTTTATTATTTTTATAATTTAATTAATAACTACAAAATTAATTTTTTGATTTTTTTTTGTATTTTTAGATAGTATAACCGATAGATATTAGTTGTTGATTATGCTATTTTTTAACGTAAAAAACATTTGTTGATAACCTACTGAATCGACAAACATTGTCAATTAAACCAGTTATAATTGATAGAAAATATTTCTATGATTTTAGTTATTTTCGACTCATGTTTATTTGGCAAAAATTTTTGTCGGTGATATTTGTTGGTTATAAATAAAATCGATAGACTTTTAGCTATAATTGATAGAATTGTTTGTCGATTATGCCTTGTTCTCTAATAGTATAAAATTTATAATATTATATGTATTTATTTATTTAATGACATGTAAAATTAAGTTTTCATAAAAAAATAATATGTAAAAGTTATAAATAAAAATTATATAAAAAAATTGTAGGTATATCATTAGCCAATTATTTATGGATGAGTCTTGGTCCATAGCTGGTCCCGGACTGAACCATTTTATAAAAGAAAAAACAAAATTCAGTAAGTAAACTTGTATGCTCTTATTTAACAAGTAAAGGTGCAAATAAGGATTTCAACTTTGCACTTTTTTCTATTTAAGGATGTTAACTTTATCAGTTTCTAAATAAGGATATCAATTTTCAATTTTTTTCTAAATAAAGATGTTAACTTTGTTAGTTTTTAAATAAGGATGTCAACTTTCAACATTTTATATTTAAGGATGTCAACTTTCAACTTTTTCTATTTAAGGATTAATTGAATAGTGATGTTGACGTGGCTAACATATTTTTTAGGTTAAATACCTGAATTGATCCCTCAACTTTTATTTTTGAACCAATTCATCCTTGAACTTCAGAAAGTACCAAAAACATCCTTCAACTGCAATTTTCAATTAATAAAATTATTTCATACTTCATGGAAGAATTAATTAAATTTTATTTAATTTTATTAAATGGTAGGTGGGACTAATTAAATGGGAAAATATATTAATTGTTTTAATTTTTAAATATAAATAAAGTAAAATTAAGAATTAAAGTAATTTGTAAATTATTTAAAATTTAAAAAATCCACATAATCATCTTTTACATGATGGATTTTCCACCTAATATTAAAAATGTAAAATAGTCAATCACTTAGCAAAAAAATTAGCTACATCAACATTTAATTGACGGAAAGACGAAATTGACAATTGAAGTTGAAGGATATTTTTAGTACTTTTTGAAGTTTAAGGATGAATTGATTCAAAAATAAAAATCGAGGGACCAATTCAAATATTTAACCTAAAAAAATATGTTAGCCATGTCAGCATCACTATTGAATTAATCCTTAAATAGAAAAAGTTGAAAGTTGACATTCTTAAATAGAAAATGTTGAAAGTTGACATCCTTATTTAGAAACTAACAAAGTTAACATCTTTATTTAGAAAAAAATTGAAAGTTAACATCCTTATTTTAAAAAAAAATTGAAAGTTGACATCCTTATTTAGAAACTAACAAAATTAACATCCTTAAATAGAAAAAAGTACAAAGTTAGAATCTTTATTTACACCTTTACTCCTTATTTAACTCTGCACTTATTCAAATTTAACTACCCTTAATTTTAATATTTTCCCTAGACGGTCCCTCTCCATTGAAACTAGACGTCGTTAAAACTTCTTTGACTTTTAAAGCTAAGGTGGAAGAGAAGACCGTTTGGGTAGGAAAATTTGCTCCACGTCGGATTTAGGCCTCTCCAACTTCCCTTTCTCCAACAATCGCTTCCTCTGTGTGCTGTCCTTTCAACAGCAATGGCTGCCTCCCATTCTTCCATGCATCTATTCCTTCCTTTAAGGGCAATTTCTCCCAAAAAAGGTATAACTCTAATTTCTTTAGCTTATGGATTCCTTTAGCAAACAAAACATTCGTTACTGTTTTCCTTTGATAACCATCCAGAGAAATTAACCCTTTTAATTTCAAAAGAAAATGATGTTCGGACTCTTCTTTTGTATCTATGAATATATTCTTTGCTTCTAGGATTGCCCTGCTTTGAAACTTTGATGCTATTAGGACTGTCTCTAAAACAAGGAAAGGCTGGTAGGGGAATTATTTGCTTTGGAATTTTTTACTTTAATTAGCTTAAAGTGTTGAACACGGGAGTTGGGGCTTGAAGACAAGTATCCATGTGCTTCTCATGATTCTCTTTTGTAATATTTAACTGGGAAGACATCAACATATAAAAATGTTAGATCGACATATAAGAATGTTAAATTAGCAGAGCATCATACCACTTCAACTTTTGTGGCATTTTGTTGCACAGATAGAAGGCATCAGCGATGCTGCTCACGAGTAAGTTTTCTTGCATTATTGAATCCTTGTTAAAGTAGACTCTTTTTGTACATTAATTTATATGTTCTTACATCACATAAGTAGTTTTGCTCCACAACTGTGGCTAAATGTATATAGAACAGAGCCATTTTCCTTTTTCTTTTCATGTTTTGCTGTTAGGCAATATATATCTTAGACATGAATTCTTTTAATTATTGTCTAAAGATGGAGCATATATAGAGCAATTATATTCTTTTGTTGATAATTAACTAGATAAATATGTATCTCGTTATTTGGTGTTCTAGTTCTAATGACTCGATATATCTTGTTAGTTGGTGTTTTAGTTATAATGCCTTGATGAGTTCTGATTAACAAAATACACGTGCACAATGAGTGTTTGTGTTTTTTTTTTTTTTTGGTTTCCCGCCCGGTATCTGGGGCTTTGCCTCAACTAATCCGGATCCGACTCGCATTGCGCACCTGAAAATGGTGGGTGAATCTTTTAGCGGGGGCTGCTGCGTACACAAAGTCTCAAACTCGAGACCTTGCTTAATCTAAAACAAGCCGCTTATCATTTGATCTAACTCTTCGTTGGTCAATGAGTGTTTGTATGTATGATGATAACTACAGCCTTGTAAATGAGAAACTATTAACCCACTCCCATCCAATAGGGGCAAAAACCAATATTTAATCCCTCATCTTACAAAATTGGTAGGTTCACCTTATAACATGATAGTTTTAATCTTTTATTTTATAAAATTGATAAGTTTTAACCCCTCATCCTATAAAATTGGTAGGTTTTAACATTTTATCTTATATTATGATATTTTTAACCCATCACCAATATGAATTAAAGAAATAACCCTCACTTAGCATCAGGTTATAATGTTCTGTTAGTTTTGTTAGTTGACTGTTAATATTTGTTAGCATTCCGTTATAAAAAATATGAAATTTAAATTCAATTTTATTTATTAGTTTCATAACAGAATGCTAACGTATGCTAATAGTCAACTAACAGAACTAACAATTAGTTAATAAAACTGACAGTCAGCTAACAGAACTAATAGAATATTAAAATTTGATGTTAAATAAGGGTTATTTTCTTCAATTCGTACAGATAAGGGTTAAAAATGTCATAATATAAGGTGAGGGCTAAAACCTACTAATTTTGTAAGGTGAGGGGTTAAAACCTATCAACTTTCTAAGATAAATGGTTAAAAGTATCATATTATAAAATTATGGGTTAAAACCTATCAATTTTATAAGGTGATGGGCTAAATGTTGGTTTTAGCCTCCAATAGGTATGGCAATGGGCCTTACGGGGTGAAAGAGTGCCTTCCCATCTCGCAAATTGTAGGGACAGTGACCCTTGCGAGAATTTTTTCTGGTGGATAGAATTTGCCCTATACTTGTTACTCATGGGGAATGGGTCTCGTGAGGATTTCCTACTAATCTATATATATTATGATATTTTTAGCCCATCACCAATATGAATTAAAGAAATAACCCTCACTTAGCATCAGGTTATAATGTTCTGTTATAATGTTCTGTTAGTTTTGTTAGTTGACTGTTAATATATTTGTTAGTATTCCGTTATAAAAAATATGAAATTTAAATTCAATTTTATTTATTAGTTTCATTAACAGAATGCTAACGTATGCTAATAGTCAACTAACAGAACTAACA